GGTAATTAATTGAAATTTTTATGAGGATCAACAGACGATAAAAAATGCAAAAACATGGATGCTTGCCAAACTTCCTGCGAAGCCGCAGACGCAGCCTTGTGATATAAGATTACAAAGTACCTGTTACAGACAAGCGCACATGCAGGTCCATGGATTAAATAGGCTAAATAAAAAGTTGAAAAGCTTAATTTTATTTCGTTTCGTACGTTAGACTAGCAGACTTGGTGCGCAAATTGAGCAGCCTTCGTTGGTTGTATGGACGAAGTCGTAGCAAACCTGTTGTTTTAAGCCATAAAGACGGCGCTCAAGTGTCACCTTATGAAAAGCTAAGTTTATATATTTGTATATATTCTTTTTTAATACATAAATATGCTAGACTGCTATATTTATTAGGCGTTCAAATATGGCAGCTAGTTGCTTTACAACAGACCTAACAAGCAAAAGGTGTCATGTTACGCATAATTTACGACTCTGTGGCTATTAGTTAGTATTTCTAGAATACATACATACATACATATTGCCTCGACTGCAAGGTATATGATTTCATGAATATAGCTACATTTACATAGTTATAGCGGTATGTATGTCTGCTTGTCTCCCGAAATTCATGTTAAAATTAAATTTACTGATCGTGTAGATTACCTGTTCGCCACTAGCCTATCGATAAACTTATTTATACCGTATATTTAAAGGTAAGTTACATAAAAATAGGGAGTAAAATAAATAGGCAACCGCCATGCTGGACACGTCGCAACATTTTTCAATTACTTAATATGCGCCCTGCGGCGTTGCATGTCGAAAACAATTCTGAGTAGATGTGCGGTATATAGAGGACATTGTCGGAAAATGTTGACATTTTCTAGTTTTTTTGTTGCTGCTTTCAAAGGAAAAATAATTAAGGCGACAGTGTCGTAGAAAGTATGTGGCATAAAAAGGAACAAGAAAATTGTTCTACTACACGTCGCGTTCCCAATGGGACTTACAGCATGCAGGTATTGAAATTTTAACGAGCTGACCTTGTTGGCCAAATGTACACACAAACACAACACACACGCAAATGATCGCGCCGCAGCATGACAAGTATAGGTACATATATTGCCAGCGCAAGGAATGTCGCTACAAATGTCTATTTTATGCATAAATATAAAGAAGTGTGGGGAGAAAAGGCAGCTAAGTTGCCAAACTAGTAACCGTAACGCTTATGGAGCTCCGCTGTGGCTGAGCGTGAAAAAAGCAAACTCGTATTGACATTTATGGCGCTTGCGGCCAAACAAGCGTGCCACCAGCCAAACTACGGGTGTTGCAAGCATTGCAATGCGAACGACCGCCTGTAGGCCAAATTGAGTGTTGGTAGCCAAATTTAGCGCAGCACTACTATGCTGGTTTATGCAGCCAGCTGCATAGTAGTGCTGAGTAAGTTATGTGTAAATTAACTGCGGCGGACAATAAATTGCGATTAAATTGCAGATGTGTTGCATTATAATGTTGGAGAGGCGTGAAATAAGTTGCGAAAATTTCCGCTTCCCTGTGGCAAACGTGAACTAACATAAATCTATAGAAGAGAGATGACAAAAAATAATTTTATGCACTGGGAAAAATTTTAATTGAAAATAAACAATAATAATAAAAAAATTGAAAATGAACTGAAAAAAATTTGATTTGAATTTTTTTATAAATATTCTTTTATATATTATATATAAAGCATTTTATAGAAGTGTGATGACAAAAATCTGGGTTTACAATGGAAAATTTAAAAAAATAGCTGGTGCATAGAAAAAATTGAGTTGCACTGAAACAAATTTATTTTATAACAAACATTTTCAATTCATAAATAATTTAATTTCCATTTTCTGCATTCTATGAAAAGGAAAATGTTGACAAAAAATACAACACTGCACTGAAAAAAATTGTTTAATGGAATTTTTTTTGTAAACATAAGAATTGATTAAAATTAAAATTTAGATATTTAAATGTGAATTTTTATCATAAACTTTCACCCCTACGTTTTGAGAAGGGCAGAAAATGTTGCACTTATTTAAGGTTAGAAGACAACATTCTGAGAAAAGAATACGCAACTTTGACAGACAAATAAACTCTGATGTTTTCGAGCCAAAAGCAGTCATCTGTATGCATCTGTATGTGTGTAAAAACACCAGTTACATTTGTTAGAGCAAAAAGATAAAACAAAAAATATCGGACAATTTGTACAGTATATCGGTAAACAGCTAAGCGATAAGCATGGAAATGTTATCAAATCAAAGAAAAAAGTACAAAAACACAAATCTATATAGTCGTCATCAAAATCATACACCTAACCAACGGCAGCAGCAACGCAATAACACCTTTTGCTGTAAACGCGACGGCAAAGCGATAGCCAGGCAGGCAGCAGACACTCAGTGTCAATGCGCGTTCAATGCTTATCGCAAATACATACAGACCCATGTTATATGTAGATATGCCGACGGCCTGTCGAACGCTAACAAATTTATTTGTATAAACAAAACAGTTGTGAAAAATATTGTATCTACAGCTAATTAGAGACAATTTACTGGGGCACAGGGTTGCATTTTTGGTGGAAGTAGAGCCAAAAATCAAAACTGGTTAATATGATAACATTTTTTTGTCTTTAAAATCGGAATGAAGTGGTTGTATAGAAAACTCGTTCATTTGACGAGATATCTTCACGAAAATTGGCATGGAATGTTATCTAAAGCAATAATACAATCTCCGAAAAAATTGTTTAGATCGAGTCACTATAGCGTATAGCTGCCATACAAGCTGAATGATCGGAATCAAGTTCTTGCAATGAACCTTTTGTATTTGTGAAGGGTACAACCGTTATTGTTAGTTGTTTTCAAAAAGGATTCGAATAATGTACCGAATGCAGTATTGAGAATTGCTGAAATAAGAAATAAGTTATTCTCAGCCATCATAGAGATCGGTACAATACAACAATAATTTACATGCATACGTTCTACAAGTATGTTGAAAATACATATGGAAAACGTGAAGTAATATTTTAATAACAGAAGGAGCAAAAAAAACAACGAACCTTTTAAAATTATAATAATGGAAGTGTTAGCTTCAGAAAAGCAACAACATTTATATAATTAGCAAATTGGAATACAAAACATACATATGTACATTCATCATATGTATGTGTCTATATATACATAATTGTGGATATATAGACATCCTTATAAATACATTTGTGTGGCTTTTATAGCCTTTATTTTCGCTACACATCACAACCAAACGCCCTTTTGACACTAACTGCAGTCCACATGTATGTATGTTTATATGTGCCTCGAAAGAGCTAAAATTTAACCAAAAGTTGAAGCCTGCTACCAGCTAGCAACACCAAAGCGCCTGAGAATGGTGACACAAAGCAATTTGCGCTGGAAAAATAATACTTGACTTGGCGAACCAACATACGTATAGCATAACATATGTGTGTGCATTCATAAGTGCACACATATGTGGCCAAAATGTGTTGCATTTACATACACTCATCTCGCTTGCTGCCTTGTTTTCGATACACAATACAATATTACCCGTCACTTTGTTGTTGTGCTCTAGTATTTTTTCGTTTTTCTTTGTGTTTTGGTGTTCATTTGCGTTAAAGTATCAAATTTCTTTCACGCAACGAGACTTAGATAAAAAAAATGGAATTATTTGTATGATATATCACAATATATAAAAACCATAATTCTAGGTTAACAGTTTTTCACAGTTATCAAAATTATCTTGTAGTGACTTTAGACACTTATAGTGACATCAACTGCTCTCTGTTTCTCGATTGTGCGAAATATTATACCTTTTGCAGTATCTGTGACTTTTATTTAAATTTTGAAGCTGCTTTAATTTTAATTTGATTAAATATCACTTGAATACTTCTCCTTATTTTGCCTTTCATGAAGCTGTGGTTTGGTTATGAAGCTAACCGTAATGTGGTATTGAGTTGGTGTCAATTTACTTGTGTGACTTAGTTGTAGCAGGTAGGTTATATTGAAGGAAGATTCTAAAATTGAGCTTGTAGATTGTAGGCCATGAAGTTTCAACGAAGAAAATTATATATTATAATATATAACATAATATTATAATATATTTGAGTGATATTTGGAGGGTTCAAGAATGCTCTACAATGCGAAAAATCGGATATATATTATATATAGAATCTTTAATAGATCAGAAATCCTTTTGCACTTTTGCTATTTGTTATTGTGTGTTTACTGTTCTTAAAACAAAGGTTGCTCATGCATTATGATTTGTTGTATATTTAAGAGCATAAGTTTTAAAAACAAAAAGTATGGTTGTAGAATTAATAATACAGAAAATCAGGTTAGAAATTCCACAGAAAAAAAATCTATAAATTGTTTTCTGGCTCTGTTCTGATGTTTTATCTTATGATCTCAATTAAAACATCCGTATACTACCCAAACTGCATTCATTCATCAATTTAGGGTTTGCAACAAAAGTGTGCCTTTTATGATAGATACACAAAAGATTAATCAAAAGTTTCGGCAAAAACTAGATACAAGTTCTAGAACTGATTTGTTTCAATCTAAAATCCTAAGATCTTGCCTAAAGCCTTCACTGTTCTACCAAGATTAAATTCGTAACAAACTGCTTTAATAAGTAATCATCTATAAATAATTACTGTTTTGAGTAGAACAAGTCTGCCCAATTAACTGTTTAGAAACCCATATTCTAAACCTTAATAAAAAATGTGCAAACACTCAGTTATATTGTCGAATTATTTATAAATCTAAAATCGTTTGATACAACAAAATTAAATTTTCAGACCTTATCGGATCACTATGGCATATAACTGCCATACAAACAAACCGATTAAAATCGATTTCTTGCATGGAAAATTTGTTTACTTCTGAGGAGTATTATATATGCTGTTTTTCTTGTTCAGAATATCTTTATGTTTTGCTTGGATCATTAACTCTTAAAATATTTAATTTTAACTTTCTTACAAATGCTATACATACCTCTATGGTTTTCAGCAGTTATTCGATTTATCCAAAAGTTTTAAGAAAATGGTTTCAATTCCAAACAGATTTTTGTGTGTAACAAAGATAGCAAAATTTTAGTGAATTTGGCACAAAGTTATCACAGAACCAAAATACCTTCAAAGTACATTTGTAAATAGTAAACAGAAGCGATAATAGAATGAGAGAAATAGCACAACTTGACAGCAAATTTTGCGTAAAAAAAATGCTGCAGTTCAAACACTATTTAATGACTCGTTGATTATTCGTTAGTTTAGGACTTTTTTATTTTTAATAATTTGTTTGTTAATAATGTTTGCTTTTACGGGCAACTATTTATAGCTCTCAGGAAAATTGTCGCGACTTTTTATCATTGCTTTTTATAATCAAAATTATCGTTTTTCATTCCTATTAAAAATTAATTGTACCGTTTTCATTAATATCAGGTGCAGCTTGCGCCGTTTACCGTCTGCCAGAGTGCCTATGCTGACGCCGTCAACATCATCGATCACATTTTAAACATCAACACAAACAACAAAAGCAATAACATAAACTAAATAAATTACAAACTTTTTCTAAGAGTAATATTACACCAAAAAACAGTATTATCTGTCTGTCTGCGCAAAATGCTGATTTTCCTTTTTTCACGTTTACTCCGCTTTTCCACTTCTTACTAGTTCTATTTCAGCGCTTTTTTCACTATTTGTTATTACTTTTTATGCTTTGCTTGCTCTCCTTAAACGCGTGCACATATTTACCGCCGTTGTTATTGTTGCTTTTTCGCCGCTAACAATGATTCTCTCGTTTTTCTTTTGACTGCGTTACTCCGACACTTTGCTTGCGACTCTTGGTTAATTCTTTATTGTTGTTTTTTCCTTTTTAGCGTTTTCTATGTTTCTACTTTCTTGCTGTTTCACCTCGCTTGCTCGTTATTTATGTTTTGTTTTTGGTTTTTTCACTAATTTTAACAAAGCATAGCAAATTTATTTATGGAAAATAAATTGTTGAAAACGAGTCGTAACGAAATGACAACATTGCCAACGACGCGTGTATACAAAAATAACCGGGCTGTCCAAAAACTAAACCGGACCAACGGAGTGTAGTCAGGGTTGATTGTGACGAGAATTTTGCGCGAGTTGAGCCGAAAATCAATGAGTAGTTCACATTTTTTCATTTAATATACAAACTTTGTTATTGCAACATAAAAAGTTCGTAACTTTATTGTTTCAAAATTTATATATGTACCCCAACAACACTTCTTTCACAACAATGCAAAGATTTATTGTTTCGCTACTCGTTCGCTTTCGACCGCAAATGTATACGCTATGCAACAACAACACGTTCGAGTACACTTCCGCAAATTTACTCAAATCAACCAAACGACACGATCGCTAGAAATGAACTGAATTAAAGTGGCTCACAGATAAAGTGGGCAAGGTTGCAGTAGCGCACACGACGAGTAGAGTGCACAGCGAAAAGCCAACACATTTTTACAGCTGCGAGTGATGTGTGTGTTGGTGGTGTTGCTGCTGGTGTATCTTTACGCCGCTAGTTGCTAGTGTCGCTCCCTCAACTGTTTCTTATTTACGGCTCTCACTAACCGGTTACATGCTATTGTACAATACATGTGTGCTTGTAGCAGATACTGTATCTGAGATACATAAATATAGATGCGAGTGCACGCTCAGCAATTGAAAATAAAATAACTTGAAAATATGTAGCTGAGATTGTTGGCATGATGCGTGGACAAAGTGAGCGCTAAATTGTGCGATACTCATGAGTGGCGCAAGGAGAAATGCATTTTTTGTTGGAGTTGTGTGACTTTAGTATCTTGTTTAGCGAGCGGATGTAGTGCATTCATGGCACGATTGCGAGAAAATAGAATTGCAGTAAAATCTACTGAGGTGCTATTTTTTATACCTGGCGTTTGTAGAGAGCGCAATATTTATCTATTGAACAACTGAGTTGCTCAAATTCAAACAATTTAGAAACAGTAATTGTGAGGCTAGAATATGCTCGGTTCAGTGAGGGGTAAGTTGGCAGAGAAGAATAGCTAGTTTTTGCGGATATGAAAAAATTTGTACGTTTTGAGAAATTACATGCGATTTTTGTTACTTTGTAGCATGCGATATTTTGTAATAAATTTGTGAGAACACACGGTTCTAGTACACTTTTTCTGAGTTCAAATAAGATCTTGTGCTTTCCATACCATAAAATCATTAACTTTCAGTTAAGGAGACACTATTTTCCAAAATATCGATCGTGTAAACGGAATTTTTTTTACCAAGCAACCTTTACTATTCTTGAAAATTTGGAGTCTGACATAAATAGCGGTTCTTGAAAAGCTCCTATAGCATAAAATAAAGTTCAGTTGCTCATCTAGTATTAGGATAAAAGCAGTCGAACTTTAATGTCCTGCTTCGGCAACCACAATTATCGGCTTATTCTATATATCCTTAAATTATGGATCTTACAAAGAATACTGGTTTTGACATAAAACACACCTCTTAACCTCTAAGAGACAATATAAAGTTTTTTATGTTCTCAAAAATTGCAACAAATATTTTGATAAAGAGACAGAGAGCGAAAGAAAGCGACACTTCAGTTTAATGTTATGAATGCTATAGAATTTAAAACATTAACCTAGGCGAACATATAATTTTCGCACGGAAACAACATGAAGCTTTTAGACTACGGTCACATTATTTCAATTTGTAGAAGAATCAACGTTTCAGTAGGTCAAGATGAAAACATGCCACTCTGAGAGTCTGTAGGAAAACTCGTATTCTTTTAATCTCCCTCTAAAGCTCATTTCCACCCTGCAACTTTATACGAACGCTAAACGTGAAACTGTGAAACGAACAATGCACACACGCTCGTACCAAAACACCCGACTATCAGTGAACAAAATTAAATGTAAATCCTAATCCTCGAATCCTTGCGTTGTCATGTCACACAACAAACTCGTAAATCTGACGCAACTGTCATACAACATTCACTGACAGTTAGTTGACAGTGTTTTGCATTTATTGCTCTATTCTGACACTCGCCAACCAGCACACGAACATATTCCACTTGCAGGTAAGGCGTAGAGGGACGTAGTGAGCGAGTACGATTCGCAACAAATTAGGTTTTTTTCGTCGAGGCATTGTATCCGATTTTAGTTGTCTGCCACCACAAATGATTAACTTTGTTATTGCTTTACCCAAGAAAAGCGTAAAACAAAATTGCAAAACAAATATAAAAATTTGTGCTCGTTTTCAATTTGTACGGATACGTCTATTCGTTCGCCTTCCGAGCACATATGGAAATTTATACTTCATGTGCTCTGCATATGTTTATATGTTTGTATATATTTATAGATTTGAGCCTCATGTATGCTGTAATTTATGTAGCGCCCCGCTGATTGTTTGATTTGGTTGCGTGGTCCGCTAATGGCTGGGTGGCTGTTCGTCCGCCGGCTGGCTTGTGTCTGCTTGCTCCGCTTGAAATTGCATTGCCGCCGCTTCGTCATTAGCTTCTGCCTCGGTTGGTTGCTCTTCATTTGGTCTGGTATTTCGGGAGGGCGTTGAAGGGAGGAAGTTGCCGGAGCACCAATTGGAGTGGTGTCACATGTATATATCCGTTCGTGCTACAGACTTTTAAATGCTTGTTCAAGCTATATCATAGAGGATATACAAACTAAACCCAAAGAGATGTCGACGAAATCTATCCTGTAATGTTGGCTCGGTATAAATTATTAAACTGAAAACTTGCTCGGCCAAGCTCTTCTACTATTTGTGGTTGAGGTCGATGTCATTAGACATTTTTTATGTCCACAACTCACACCGAGTTTGACTATGCCTGAAAAGGAACGACTGTCACTCCAAACTCTTTGATTTTTGATAATTCGTAAAAAATTAAAAATAATGCAGTTTCGTGGCTTTATCAGAAATTTCAAGATTTACTCGTTATGAATATATGACGAAAGAAATACATGGTTCATGTAGATGTAGCGGCAGCTAAACATATCGGTGTTGAGAGCAAAGTTCCCGCTCCATAAAATGTTAATCTGTATTGGTAAGTTTTACAATTCCATTGAAGCTCATTTCCCTTTGAAACGAGTATTCCTGGTTCCTTATTGCTGAAATCGAATCAATATTTTAACCATGATACGACTTCACCTTTGCTGTATTTCTGATCATACGATGGATCTAGTGATAAGTATACCTGAAAATAGGTTGATGAAGTTTGATAATCTGTTTATTGGTTCAATGCAGTTTGAAAAGTCGAGTAAGCCAGTAAATAAACAGAATAAGAGGAGTTAAAAAAAAATAATGGAGATTTAAAACTCAACGGATAAAGCTAATGGTAACATGGGGTGGAAAAGTCGTGTTCGGAATTTGAAAACCTGATTTTCTCTCCTTAAAATATACATTTTCAGCCTTCTCGATTGTCTATATATATGTATCTAGCGAAACTTCCGAAAATAGTTAGTTAGGGTTTGATAGGTGTCAGTATATAGTTTGTGAATTGTTATATCGGCGCAGTAGAACTTCGGCACAACATTTTGCTTTGTATTTATTTTAAACAGTTTTGCCGCCGATATTTCAACAAGTTTGACGTTCCATTTTTTGAACCTCATTGCACTTGGAAGGTCTTCCTAACGAGATTACTTTTTACCTTCGGAATAATTATAGTATCAATTTTGAGATTTTCATTAATTTTCCAATTATAATGATACCTTATTTGACGTACCTACATGAGAGCACCGCACAATGGGTATCAATTACAAAATATTTACCCGTGTAAGTTCAGCTTGAAATGACATTGACTTGGCGTATGCTCATCAACTATTCACAAACCAAAAAAAGGTAGTAAAATGCATTTCACGGTTTCTAAATAAAGAATAATGCATAGAAGAGTGGAGAGTGAAACAACACGTGAAGTAATTTTAACATCATTTATCATAATAGTAATTAGAGAATCGTTACCCATATCTAATAGCAGGGCGCCCGAAACATAATTGTGTGCGCGCCACACAAACAATATGGCCTCAACTGAGACAAAGCATAGCGCAGAGAGAGCGTGGTGAGAGGGTAGAAAAATATAAAGCAAAAAATAATTTAATAGATTTTAAAATAAATAAAATAAAATACTTTTTATGAGAACATGTGCTTAAAGGAGTACTGAAGAACTAGTTGGGAGAGAGCATATCGCATGATACGAAAAATTGTTAGGAGCTGTGAAATGTCACACTCAAATGTAACTAACCAGTTTTTTTAAATAAAATATTCTTATACAAACAAACACCTCTAGGTTTTACCAAACTATTTTTAACTATAGCGCTATTCCTCTCACAACCTGTCGCTACCACAGCGCTACTCTCTCAATTATAATACGAACTTACTCAGCTCATGATCTACTACTTTTTATTATTGTTTCTCTTTATCGAATCATTATTCTTTATTGCACCTTTGTCTTGTTGTTGCCTCTTTTATCTGTTTAAGGGTCTTGTTAAAAGTAATTCGTAACACGTTGTTACCAGATAACGCTAGCGGCGTTGAAGCCGCGCTCAAACTGAGCATAGTTACTGGCGAATAAAAAGGAAATGAGAAAACGAAGGTAGCAAGTGAAGGCACTGAAGAAGAAGAAAACAGTAAAAACAAGTCGTCTTGTTAGCAAGGCATACTGACAATTATGTATATAGCAACAATATGGGAGCACAAAATCTCCAGCTGAAGATCGTACCTGTACACACACACTTGTATGCTCGTATTTGCCGGGTTTGCGCCTGCGCAACTCACGTTTTGACTTTTGCCACGCTATTTTGTGGCTTTGCGTAATTTTTTCTTTTCGTTTGTGGTTTACACTCTGTCGCTCTATCAGGCTGCTTGCTCTGTGCGGATCGTGTGCTCACTGCGATCATTGCAGCTTGTTAGCTCGTTACGAATGCAACGAGTTCAATACACTCATTGTGCGGCGCATGATAATTGTTGTTGGCGACTGTGGGCACCCAAGTTGGTGTGCCAAGTGAGTGACAGAGTACCTGCAACATTTGCCGGCACGATCGGCGGCATGCACTACCAATACATGTTGCGCCACAGGGTGTCCCAAGCATACATATACGAGTATGTGTCTTAAATGTCTCTGCTCTTTCATATACATTAGTATGTCTGCATCATCGTTTCTCCGATTATTTGTGTCGTTCGCATTTTCATGCTGGTTCGCTTATCTCAAATAAACATGCGCCGATCGCACCTCCAGCATCACTGTGGCAACACGGTTGGCTTGTGGTTTGACCCGAACGGTCGCGCTCATTTGGCAGATAGTTTGCGTAGCCACAAAAGCCGCCAACAAGCTTTACGCCATCGTGTATGGCTTTGTCTTTTGAAGTTGCTGCTGCCCGAGGTGGTGTACAATTTTGTAAAATAAACAGAAATTTCGAAGGAGGCTGAGGTGTAAAATTGTGCCGTTCGTTTAAATGCATTGATTCCCATTGTTTTTTCGGCGCTTATACCGATTTTGCTGTTGTTGCCGGGCAGCTAATGAACTGAACATTGAATGTGAATGTTGACGCTGTTGTTAGTTAGTCGCTGGTGCTGCTGTTGTTGTTGACATCTGGTTGGCAGGCGATTTTCAAG